ATACTCATTTCTTAATTGTTCACAGTGATCCAGCATATGCTTCTTGATCAGAACTCGTTGAGAAATCGGATACTCTAGCCTCACACAGGGATGCTCCAAAAGAGATGGGAAGTGAGAAAAGCAAGATATGACTTTGCTCACAGCCCACTTACGGGTTTATTTAATAGATGGGAGTTTGCACACAATTAACTAATTGAGCAAAAGTCAGTTCTTGGGGTGAAGAGCAGGCCTTCTAAAATAAGAACTCAGCATCATTTGAAGGACAAACACTTGACACTCGACATGAACTTAAGCAGGAACTGACTTTCAAAGGTAAAAATGTCTATCACATTTAAGTCTACACACATATTCTCTTCAATATTTGGGATTCTAAGCTCTTTGAAGGTAGTCTCTTCACTTCCCCACAAAGCACTTTTTTGTTCATCTTTGCAGTAATTTTCTGTCTTCTCTTCCCCCCTGCTCCCAATCCCCTTAACGTTACAAAAGAGTTTGCTTCTGGGATGAGATTTTGCTTGCTGAGTTTCATCCCCAAATTGTATTTTACAGATGACTTTGAAATTCCCTGTAAGTGTGCTCTCATTATTGGGTATCTTTGATACAACTTTAAATACATCTGTGCAGACATCGCCGCTATTAGTGATAGGAAAATATAAAACTTACAAAGAGAAAGGAATAGTCAGAGCCAAAAAACCTTGTGATAGATAAAAGTAACAGTATGTTTCAGATATGGGACCCTGGCCTCATAAACATTGCAAGTTCTCTGAATTAGTCACTTCACACAATATTCTTAGGGGAGTTTTAATCAGACCATATTGTATAGTGGCTCATCCTGAATGTATTTAGCCTGGGGATTGTTACCCTGATCTGTTTTTCTTTTCTTTTTTCTCTCTCCTGGAGTTTGGTACAGCAAAAAGAGCAGATACCTAGCAAGAGCAAGACAATCAAGGCAGTCTTGTGCTGAATAAGAGGCATGCTTAAAGGATGTTGATGATAAACTCTGCAAACCGCATATGTTTTTCAACAGAATGAAGGACCAATTTTCATAGATGAAGGGAAACACTGGGCATGCAAAGAAAATGTGGATACTTTGAATGAGAGTAGAAAATCCCCATTACTAGTGTTTCTCCCAAGTCAATCCTTTTTTTTTTTTCCCTTAAATTAATTCATTATTTATTTATTTTTTTAAGATGGCTCAAACACCTCTTCCCATAGCAGCAGAGTTAGCAGGTAAACCTACTCAGCCAAGAAGCCTGCTGTCCTAACATATCCACACCACAATGGACGGTGACTTGTGATCCCTCATCTTTATGGAAGGCAAAAGTACTTGTCCTGAGGTCTGCAAAGTTTTTCTGTGTGCTTGCAGCAGAAAGACACCAGCAGAAACCACCCGTGCCTCAACACTCCCTGCAGTGGCTCTTGGCAAACACTGCTCTGCCCAAGGTTTGGGGGGTCTCCTGGGAAGATTGCTGAGGTGGTGAATGAGCAGGCTCACCAGATCACAAGAGCACCACTAGAGCTTTTGTTTGTCACCCCAGCTCTGCTTCAGAATGAAACTGCTTCAGAATGAAAAATAGTATCAACTTCTGTGTGTGTGTACTGTAAAACTTCCTTTGTACTTTATGGCAATATATATCATATCCCTCATCATTTCAAAGTTTTCTCATGTAAGAAGCAATTGGAGATCATGGTCCCAGCACAAAGAAGAAAATTTTTAAACTTTGAAAGGGGTTTCAGATAGAGTTTTATGAATAGGCATTTATGAGTGGTAAATATTTCCAGTAGGCTGGAAGTTGCCTTTGTGTACATGTGCAGAAAAATCTGTCAAAAATTTAGAGTTCCTTTGCGTGAAGCTCTTGGCTGATTTGCTCAATCAACAGTATGTTGTACAGATTCTCAAGGAACAGGAGGAGCTAAGTGTTTCTGAAATCGTCCCGCTGTGCCATTTTGAGAACTGGTATTCATGTAACTTGTACCCTGCATCTCTTAGCGTTCAGCCATTGTTCTGACTATTTCTGAAATCATCATGCTGTGTTGTTTTGAGAAGAGGTATTCATGTACCACAGATCTTTTAGTACTGAGCCATTGCTTTGCCATGTCAGAAATGGCAGAAGGAAGCAGACAACAATATGGCCAGCACTGATGGAGAAAATGGTATTAAAATTCACCAGAAGAAGGATTGAGGGTCCCTTACTGAGATATCATTTGATCAATTGGGATCACATGGATTAACAGAGAGATGATCCTGTTTTGATAATCTGATGTTTTTATTTGTAGGCGAAAGCACAAAGAGCTGACAAGAGGAAGATGTAGATATAATTTACGCAAGCTTCATGATGCTTTCACTACAGCAGTAGACACAATAAGGCTAATATATGGGGTAGGCAGTATGGTACAGGGGGTGACATGTCCGAGTGGATTAAGGGGGAAATCATGATGCTTTGGTGTTAACTTGGAAGGAGGAGCAGAGAATTATATTGATGAGAACTGGGTCTAGATTTGTTCCTCTTATTTATACTATTTGTCTGAGGCCTAAGGAAAATGAAAATGCTGTAAAGCAGAAATATTTGCAGATAATGCAGAAACAGGGAGCACTGCCAATACAAAGAAGCTATGTGTGTGTGTGTAAAGATGAATGACCTAGATAAAAATTAGAGTAATGAGGAGCTGGACAAAACAGAGGGCCAGGCTCTGAAAGATCATACTGTGCAAAAATACAGTTCAGGAAAATGTAGTTCAGGAGAAACAGTGAGATGAAATTTAAGGCAGAAGGATTAAAATAGGTGCACACATGCAGAAATTTACAGAAACCTTTGCAAATTGTACATAAATAGTGGATTTAAGTATTTAGAAGTGACTATCCTTTAGGACTACAGAGAGGACTACAGAACTAGTACTATCATCCTTATTTCTGGTCACCTGCTTATAAAGAATTATTAAAGATATAGAAAAAGATACAGCAAATGCAAGCAGAATAATGCAGGGATTGGGGTACACCAGTTGTGCCAAATAAGACGAAGGAATTAGGGCTATATTCTGTGAAAGAGAGGCTGAGAGGTGAGATCATTTTGCTCTGTGAAGTTCTTGGGGGAATAGGAAGAATGGTAGATGCCAGACAATTTGAATTTGTGTCAAATACAAGAAGCAGAGGGCACAAATTAAAGTTTTGCATTATATGGAGGGAGTTCCCACAAGGAATTTAGTTTAGAATTCCTTTGTGCAGGGAGCAGATAATATACAAGATGCTGAAAAGTGCTCTCTGCTATACAGAAAGCCCAATGGGAACACAAATTTTTACTACTATATCCCAATGCCACATCTTTGTCTGAAGAGTGCTTTAAAGACAGCACCATTCTTCTAGAGAATACAGGAGAGGGCCATAAGAAAAAATAACCCATCTCATCCTCGTGAGAATACTCTAAGTGTTTCTCCTGGATTATTGGTAGCAGTTTCGGAGAGGCTGGATGTCTGAACCCTTTCAAAAACTTCAGCTCTGAAGAAATTGTTTCCTGGAAGAATCAGTGAAGTAGCTTTGAAATTACACAGGACTGGCACTGACATTATGAGACCCCTTTGGGATGTAGGACTACGAAGACTGAATTTCTGCTTTGCCATAGTTTTTGCAAGTTTTAAAGGATTAATAATAATGCAGCAGTGGAGATAAAAGGTGTGTGGCAAAGTCTGTAAGTCACAAATGAAACGTGTCATTATTTGAATGAGTCTAAAAAAATATTCAGATGGCATACAAGAAAAATATTTATTGGGGATAGAATTTGTGGTGCAATAGATGGAGATGAATTTACCTGTCTCTCTGGCATTCAGGTGGAAGGTAGATGAAAGTCTGAAGTTTAATAAGAGAGAACTCTGAGTCCCTCCACCACTCATTTCCTTCCTTCCCTCTCCCATCAGTTAAGTGAAATACATCTGCAAGGTATTGGTTCACTGAAGATAAACAGATTCTTAACTTTTTTTATCCACTAAATTGTGTCACAAATTTTGTATGCGAAGCGAACACTTGTAAAGGCTCTGACTCAAAGAAATGTATTTGGCTTCTGTTCTGCCCCTTTTCATTAGGGGCTCTGTGGGCTTCCAGCATCTGAAGGACTCCTTGACCTGTCAGTGACATCTACTAGCTTATTGCATCTTAGCTTTGCACACAAACTGCTTGCAAGAGAGTCTAAATCCAAACCTCAGAAGCAGAACAGCAGTTGTAAATTAGTCTCTCATACAAAATATAAAGGAACTAACCCTATTACTGTATGAATCCAAAAATGGGGGCTGTAACCCTTTGATGTCTGCAACTTGATTTCCCTCTTCCTCCCTCAGAGTGGACATCGCTGTTGGACATCACTTGCAGACACCAAGTGATTTAAATGCACATGGGAAGACAAACAGAAAAGAACCTGATCCAGTCATTTGCAGAATGTAGTATATACTGCCATACAGTGAATTATTTTTACATAGGTAATTAATAATAGAGAAACAATGTAGTGACAGTGTGAGTCCCAGGGGAGAAAATTGTCAACCTATTTATTCATTTATTCTTTTCTAACTAAATTGATGGGATAGTCTGATGCCTTTCTGGATTCCACACGGCTGATGAAACTGCAAACAAGTTTAATTTAAACAACAGGCAAATCTTCCAATTAGCCAAAGCCTAATTCTTATGCCTTGAAATGATGAACTGCATGTACCATGACCTCTGTCAGTCTCAAGGGCTAAAAAGCTGCCCACCAAAAAACTCAGACATTGATCTGAACATTTTGGGCATGGATTCAAATATATTAATCTATTGTGATTTGCCAAGTGTCTATAACTGTCCTCTGGAATCCTAAGTTCATGTTAAATGGGATATCACTAATTCTTTCATATAAACTCATCTTTGAGCTACAGGGCAGTTTAAGGGAACTAAAACAGTTCGTGGAAGAATAGAGAGGATGACACTGAATTCTGCTGCCTAATGAATGGCTAAGTCCAGTGTTCTGTGTGGCTTACTCTTCCAGAAATTACATCGTGCACAGTGGTTGAAATCCCAGTTTCAGTAGGGGAAGGATTTTGATAATAATGAAGTGCTACTAATCTGAGAACAAGCCAACAGCCAAAGAACCCAGACACAAGAATATATCTCACAGTTCATTTCTCTCATGAGGCAGGTGTTCCTGCATGTAAAAGGTAAGATCCTAAACAATGCAATTTTTTAAGTGAAGAAGTTTGTGCATTTTTTTTTTTCCTGTGGCTTAACACTTCTCTCAGATTTCATGTCTCTATGTTTGCACCTCTTTGTTTTCCCATCTTTATAAGTTAAGAATCACCTCTGCTTCAATGTTCTTGCAGTTTTTTAATGCAAGCTGCTGGCTGGCATACATGTGGAACAAGAATCCCCAGAGCATATTAGAGGACAGTGAGTAAAGAATGATTTTTGAAATAACTAGCTACAGCTAAATCATGATAAATCATACTATTTCATTGAATTTATCTTCTGCATATTAAATTTACGAAGTCGTGTCATGTTGAAATATTGAAATATCTCCAATGTAATCCACTGTAATCCATTGTTGGGAATTTCAGGGGGAAAGGGCAGTGAAAGAAAAGGTTGGCTGCCATTAGATAACCAATAATCTGCACAAGCTCTCAGAGCTGGCAGCGGAGCCGCAGTCTCAACACTAGTTTCAGCCTGGGAGCGATTGACACTCCCTGTACCAGCTATTTGGCTGGAACTTAAATATGTCACTTGGCACTGAGAGTTGATAAAAGCCCTGTTATTTTCTGGGCTGAGAGCTAAACAAGACTGCAGCCTTCCTAAATTATTACACAGAGCTTATAAGGAATTGTTGGTTTATGTGAAGTAATTTAATCAACCTGATCATTAGATGAATTTGCTGCTTCCACACTTTATTCTAATTGTGTTTGTTTATACACATGTTACACTTTTGCCCAGTTATTTAGTTCTAATTAATAAATTGGAAACAAGCATGGTATGGATGTCTGCTTCCCAAGACCACCTTCCAGAAGTGGAGGAGCCTGAAGGCAAGCAGCATTGTGAGACACACAGGCCATCCTCCAGAGCTGTCCTTGCAGACCCCCAAACCCATAACCCTGGCTGGAAAATCCACCATTCATAGAAGGCCTGGTATCTTCTTTAAAGCTTCACAGACTTCTTGCAAGTCTGTGTATACTTCATCACTTACTCTGCATTATTTGTAAGGGTATGGTTAACATTTGGGATACAGGCACTCTTGGGAACAGCACAACGTTTACTGTTAATCTAAAGGAACATGTCAAGGAGGCCTAACATGTGCCCCGTCACTGCCTTTGTTCTCTGGGTCTTTTGCTTTCCATGTTCATCTATTACAGGACCCTTTGTGAATGCACTATCACATCCCAATTCTTTTACAAGCTGGTGGATAAAATAAACCTCTCCTGCAGAACAGAACTGGAGTCCATGGTATAAAGGTCTCACTGTGAAACCTGCAAACTCAAGTTTTTTTGAGGAAAAAGCAGTGTTGAAAGGCTATTTCTTTTCAGGCTGAAGTAAATAATAATCTTAGTTTTAGTTCTGTTCATGTACCTTTTATATGCACACATCTTTTGTCATCTGCCTGTGTAGGGAGATATCCTATAACTGCAAGAGGACTGCTGTATCTCTCCATTGCCAGACCAGTAGCATTTTGTATGTCATGTATTGAAGTAAGACTGCTGTTTGGCAAAGATTTGCAGTGCAACGGTCTTGTCTAGCTTCTGTCAGTAGGAAGGTGCTGACTTTGAAGAAAGCCAGACTGGGGCTTAACTGCACAAGAGAGAAGCTTCATAGTAGAGGCATCTGTTACTAAATATGACTGGGAAAAGATTTCTCCAAAATTTTCAAGATTATGTTCCTTTCCACACTTTCTTTTGTACTGGGATGAAGTCAGAATCTTTTGAAACAAAACGAGATGCTGCAGATAGACACAGCCTTTGCAACAGCATCTGGTCCAAGAGATGCTCCTCCAGAAAGCCATTGGGTGTGTATGACCAGCCCCAACATGCAAGCAGTGCAGAGGACAAGGAGTGGGACCTGCCTGCAAAGGACAGCACAGATGCACCTAAAAGAGGTGTACCTTGGCACCCCTTCTTGTTTAGGGTGACCTAACACACAGCATATAAAGTCCAGGGTTCCTGGATTGGAACAAGGGCTTCAGTCTAACAGTCTGGTCAGAAAAGCCAAGGCCCAAGTTGGGGGGTTGGTGCATGGTCACCCACGTGGTTGAATCGTGGGCCCTGTTTCAGCCTGTGCTACCTCCCAGTCTCTGCCTAGATAAGATCTGAAGGATGACACAGGTGGGGATCTGTATCCTTGGGCTGTATGGATGAGGTTGTGCTTGTGGAGACGGAAAGGCTGGAGACCTGTGGGAAACAGCGTGACCAGCAGGGCTAGGGAGGTGATCGTCCCCCTGTACTCGGCTCTGGTGAGGCCGCACCTCGAGTACTGTGTTCAGTTTTGGGCCCCTCGCTACAAGAAGGACATCGAGGTGCTTGAGCGGGTCCAGAGAAGGGCGACGAAGCTGGTGAGGGGCCTGGAGAACAAGTCCTATGAGGAGCGGCTGAAGGAGCTGGGCTTGTTCAGCCTGGAGAAGAGGAGGCTCAGGGGCGACCTTATCGCTCTTTACAGATACCTTAAAGGAGGCTGTAGAGAGGTGGGGGTTGGCCTGTTCTCCCACGTGCCTGGTGACAGGACGAGGGGGAACGGGCTAAAGTTGCGCCAGGGGAGTTTTAGGTTAGATGTTAGGAAGAGCTTCTTTACTGAAAGGGTTGTTAGGCACTGGAACAGGCTGCCCAGGGAGGTGGTGGAGTCACCATCCCTGGAAGTCTTCAAAAGCTGTTTAGATGTAGAGCTTAGGGATATGGTTTAGTGTTAGGGATATGTTAGTGTTAGGTTAGAGGTTGGACTCGATGATCTTGAGGTCTCTTCCAGCCTAGAAATTCTGTGATTCTGTGATTCTGTGAACCAGTGCTGCTTGCCCTCAGGGCCAGAGAAGGCCCAGGGAGGTTCCCAGTGAGTCACTGTGTTGGCTGCCTCTTCCACACAAAGTATGGCAGCCTGTATGAACCCTGAGCCACTGGAGCAGGACTGTGAGCTGTTATTTATGTAAGTGTGAATCCCCTAACACTGAGCTGATGGGTCTTTTGGAGAGGAAGTCTTGCTCTTCTTCTCTTTTGCTTTGACGAAAAATCCCATGTTTCTTGAAGCCTGTACATTTGCTCCCATTAAAAATTTTGACATTGAATCTGTGGAAAAATAATCTACCAGGAAAACTCCTGATCAGGTCAAATATTAGTTTAAGTCTTAATAATTCTACAAGCCTTTTCTGTTTTAGCAGACGTCTGATTTTTTAAAGGCCTCTGGGAATGATGTATTTTAAGCTTATTTAATTTGGAGAAAAAGATGACTGTGGCAGGGAATAGTATTAGGTATAGATGAAGAGGTAATATGGAAGCTGAAGCAACAAAGTTCTTGCAGAAGAACAAAAAATGAAAGAAAATGAATATGCAGCTTAGGAGGGCTGAAAAAGAAAGGGAAGATGGGTTCATGAAAAAGTGTCCATGTATTCAAAATACTTGAACTAAAATATTCTGTGCAGAAGAGCATAAACTGAGCACCAATCTCTCCAGATTTTCGTCACTCGAGAGCATAAAGAGTTAATTTTTTCCTGTATTTTTTTTCTATTTTTCTGTCCCATGTGGCTTATTTTTTTAATGTCAGATCTACATTGACACTCATATCAAAAAGCATGCGATTTAGCATGATAGATCAGCTACTGAGAAGGGATAGGGGGGAACTGACCCTACTATTGAGATATATGATACTTATTTAGAGAGATGACATATATTCTTGATGAGATGCGCAGCTGTAAGTTGTACACTCCTCATTCAAGGTTACTTATAAGAAAGGAGGAAAAGAAGCTGGGTTTGTTCTTCCGCCCTCTTTTCTTTGATTTAAGATAGAAAATACTGTGTTTTCTGCATTAGAAATACTATATACTGTGGTTGAGTGAGAGAACAGATGAACTGTGATACCACTTGATATTTGTACAGGAACAGTTGGGCAGGGATAATAGTTTTAGTTAGCTGATGGGGAGGAATTTAATTTCTTTTTTACGTCTACATAAATATAATTTCAGTTCACATATTCAAAGCATAAGATGTTACTCCTTCTACAATTAGGAAACACAACTACTTTTTGCAGTATTTCATAAAGGTGATCTGTAGACAGTAATATTATCCTGATGTGTTTGGGTTATTCTAAACTATTTGAAAGAAAGTCAAGAAAGAAATCCATAACGCCCAATAATATTTTATAATAATAATAATAATAATAATAATTATTATTATTATTATTTTGGCAGGTGAAAAGCCAATGGAAGAGCTTCCTAAGGCATGCCTGAAGTTAAATTGTAGGTTATAAAACCCATCTGCAGGGGGAGACTCTCTAGTGTAGTTGGCTAAGAATTTCTCTAAGTCAGTGAAAAACGCTGATTTGCTAAAAGAATTTCAGAAAATAAGCTGTTTCATTTTGGTGAATTATTTGTTAATAAATCACATGCAATAATAGATACTGACTTTGCTATTTACAAAAATGATAAACATTGAATTTTTTCAGTCAGAGCTAACTTTTTCTTTTAAAGTTGAATTTAATTTTTACTAGAAAAGAGAAACTAGGTCATGTGAATCATTTTAACTGAACAAAACCAATTTTTTGGCTGTTTCATTTTGCAAAAAGATGTTCTTTCCAATCTACAGTATTCTCTGATTCTGTGATATTTCCTTTTGAGGCTGGAAGAAATAATTGAAATATAAAATTTTTATGGATATGAAAACTATTTGCTGCCTATTCCTGCTTTCTAATAATGTCTTGATATCTCTCTCAAAAAGATTACATACAACCAAATTTCTCTGCATCTTTTTTTTTTTTTTTTTTTTTTTTTTTTTTTTTTCTGACAGAGAGAAACTCAGTAACCTGAATAAAGATATATAATTTGTTCGGTCTTTCTTTTCCCTAGGTTCCTGTGTCAAGAACAGTGGCATGATTTTTAACTTCCAATTTTCAGTAGAAAATAAATGAAAAAAAATTGCTGGAAATATGCATGAAATTTCTCCATCATAGTTGGAAAAGCCTGAAAAAATTGTAGCCCAGTCTGCTTTCCATTTGTGACTGTCTGTTTATGATAGCTTTTAAATGGCTCACATGGAAAGTTTTCTTTACACCCTTTCCTTTTACTAGACCAAGGCCTCCAGACCATCACAAAATGATGATTTTGGGAGTTGTTCATAATGACCTGAAAATTTAAAATGAGACCATTAATCTTTAATATTGGGTGGAAATTTTTCACATTACTCTCTATTGTCTTAGTGCTTTTGGAAATTAAGGTAGGAGACTATTTCATGAAAAGCATCACAGACAACTGTAGCAGAAAATTATGAAACTAAGAAAAGGTTCTTTGGTACTAGAAAGTGAGAGTGACAATCATTCGTCACCAAGATCTAGCATTTGGATAAGAGTATCTACATGATTCAGGAACTTAGAAAGAAAAAAAAAATGAAGTTATGACAGCAAGTCTGGGGTCTCTAGTTAGTCCTTGACACTTACCAAGCTGAGTGGAAATATTTTGGATATTTCTGGTAGAAATGGACTTCCAGTTTACCATCTTCAAAACTTCAGTATAACACATCAGGGAGTAGAAACCTAAAGATGCTTCTAAAGATAGCAAATATCCATTTATTTATTTATTTATTTATAATTTATTTATAATATTTATTTATTTATATCCTTTTTTTTTTTTTTTCTCCTTTTTATTAGGACCATACTTTCAACCCTAATGTTAAGCTAGAAACTGCAGAGTTGATTTTCATCAAGGAATGATGAGCTAATGATTCACTTTATTAGTGAATTATGCAGTCATCACGCCAGGACATTGGAGGGAGTGACTCTGATTTCGGTTTAGTTTGCCTGTGTGCCTAAATGAAACAAGGGGATTTAGGTTGATGTGGTCTCCTCTAAAATTACTTAAGTCATTTGCAAGTCCGTTGCAGTTCACACTGCAGTCCACTACCTATGGTTATTCATTAATCAGATACTTATAAATATGCAAGAAATGGAAAGGGAGATTCAATTTGTAAGCAACCCATCTGCAAGAGCTTATAATTAGGGCTACCATATTTCTGAAAGATGTTAGACCTGCTGAGCTTGTATACTCCAGGGTGGATGTGTGTTAGACATATCAGATGATTGCAAACCCTCTACAAATACAGAAATATCTTGAAATATGTGTACAGCAAAAAGAAAATGGGAAAACCCATTTATCTGTAGTGGCCCTCACAACAATCAGACAAAAAGTTTCACATCAGACAATTACATAGACAAAACCAACAGTACAGTTATGAGAAGATACATGTATATGGGTTTCTAGTCTCCATATTGCAATTTTTGAGTCCCACCATTTATTGGAAGACAAGGAGCCCATGTGAAACACCTAAGACACTGTTGTTATGTGAATCTGAATCAGTCACATTAACCACATTAACAGTGAAGTGCAAGGCAAATTCCAAGGAAGTGATGGGACTTACACCTAGACAATGAGAAAAATGCTTTAGATTCAATCTGTTTTGAAATTGTTATTTGTAAAAATGGAAATGATCCTTCAATACTTTATAGTAGCTTTTAATATTATTTTTACCTCCAAACTACTGTTACTTTTGACTATTTAGCAGATATATGTTAATTTAATGTTTCTGAATTTGCATTTGCATATCTGTACTGTAGACAATGTTGAATAGGTCGTATCTTCTTTTTGATGTATTAGTCTCCCTTTTGATTTATCAACAGAATAGAAAGTGGGCTTGTGATCTCTTCCACGGTGCCTCTACAATACAGTTGTTATTACAAATGATGCCACTTTAGGCAGGATAGACACAAACAAACCATAAGCTCAGAATTGCCCATTGTAATCAAATTGGCTATTTTCCAAACAATTCACAGTCTCTCTCCCAGTGTGACCTTTCAGAGCCCTGCACTCAGCAAAATAGGGTTATATTACCTTTCATGCACTACTGTTCATTTTCAGGAGAAAGCCAGGATTATTGCTCAAATTCTGTTCAATTACACTGGAGCAACCTCATTGTTTTCAGGGGAGGGCACAAACAAGTCAAGTTGGCATATGGTACAGATGTGTGTTTTGTGTTACACAGAAATGGGAAGGGTTAAGAGCATGCTGTGTAATAAAGACGTGACAGGCTGAATGCCTAGTAAGAGAATGGATGCTGTTTTCCAGTTAGTCCAGTTACCCTCACCTGGTCTTGATAATGGTTTCCAGAGGCATAATTGGACATAATGTATATGCTGGGCAGAAGCCAGAAGGGGAGAGATGGGGAGATAACTTTTTGACTTAAACAGGTAAAAGAGCAAAAGGCAGCTGAAGTTAGCAATCCTATAACTTGAGGGACTGGGACTATTTTCACTTTCCTGTCTTCTCCCCTAGCATTATAGCTGCTCTTAGAAATCTTTGAGTTTTTATAGATACTTAAAAAAAATAAAATCCAAACAACAATAGATTGCCCAGTAGAAAATTATTTACATGAAAACTCCTGCCTAAGCATAATTTTTTCTTGAGATGACATCTACTTTGAAAATACAACACAATTTCATCTCAGATGTAAAAGTAACACCCTCCTCCTTATTTTTTTATTTTATTTTTTTGCTGACAACAAGAGATACGGAGCTTGCTGACAGTATGTGGCTGATAGCTGTATCAGTCATTCCTAAATAGTCTATGAATCCATGTACAGTATAAAATATCATTGATTTATGTAATTGGGAATTTTTAGCAATACAATTTTGTGTAATTATGTTTGTTTTTCCCTATCCAGAACCTGCTTCCCTAGTGAATCTGGGAACAGCCTCTTCTAGTACAGAGCCACTATTTATTCCGCCCTTGTGCTTCCCTTGAGTATAAGTTATGATATATCAGCATTGTCTTTGAGGTCTACTGAATCTGTGGATATGCAGTACTCCGAAGAGTGGAGACGGAATGAAGTTGAAAGGATTCATGAATAAAAAGTAAGTGGATGATACTTCAAACTAAAGCACAAATACTGCATTGCCTAAATGGAGAGAAATTGCTCCTTTTGCTCAAGTAGGAGCAGTGGCAGTAACAATAAGCTAGGATTATTTTGGCCTTTGGTTTCAGGCTCAGTTGTTATCAGAGCGTGGCACACAGCAGCTACTTGGAATACTTTCTTTTCACATGATGGTCTCAGGTGAACTTTGGTGAGGAAAATAAATATCCTACTGGGTATAAAGCCTTATATGTCTGTGAGAGAAGCTTTGCGAACTCTAAGTGATACCCCCGTAACCTGCAGCACCTCTGAAAATAAATAATCTTTTAAATCCCAAATTCTTGATAAATGGAAAACACTATTCTGCTCCTGGTATTGTCAATTTTCTCTCCTTTTGCAGGGAACCTGACTATTCATGCTCAGTATATAAACATACTGCATGAGGTAAATAGGTATCAAGGCTAGTGCTGTTTTTGAACATAGATCATCATTTTACTTACTCCCTTACATCATTTAACTCTGTTCTTCTGACCCTGGGACCTGGTAATACACACTGCAACCAATAACCATAACTCCATGATCCGTATAGAATGCGTGAGGGATGGTGGCAAGTATATAATTTATTACCTTCAGTAGTGCTGTGTTATTATTATGTGACTGTTAGAGCATTCATAGTTTGACAGATTCCTATTAGCCAGTCAGTCAGAGTATGTAGTGTATTATTTTATCAATACCTGATGCATATCTATAAAGTTTGTGATCACTGCTGTAAAAGAACAGCTGAATTGGTTGGGATGGCATAATCTCCCTTCCTGAGGTCTCACCTGAAATATCAGCTTAAGCTGACTAATCTCTTTTAAGGCTAGGAAAAGTCTGGGTAACTTTCTTCCTCTCTTATCCTGAATCCCTGAAAGGAAGTGTCAAAATAGTACATGAAGTTATTTTCATTGTGCTCCCATTCCAATAGCAGAAGCTAAAATTACAAGAAATCTTGTACTGGAAGACAGCCTGTTCTCACAAGATTTCCAGACCATTAACTCAAGAATCAGTTTGTTTGGATTAGGATTGCACAAACAGCCAAACTTCAGGTGCTTATCCAAAAAGCATTGAACCAAATCCTTTGAGCTTTCCCCACATACTTAATATGTTATGCAAATACTGACTATATGTGGAAATGAGCAAGATCAGAAAAACCTCCTTGTCCAGAACAAGCAGGTTTCATTCTTGCTGGACCAAAAAAAAAAAAAAAGCTGTCATGTTTTCTGCTGGATGGACAGAAACAGTAAAAGTGAGGGGAGACACAGACAAAGAGAGCTGAGGGATGGAACGTGAGAGGGGCTGAGGAAGACTGGAGCCAGAAAGCAGTTATCTACCAGAGGATGGGAAGAAGATTCAGAGCTGCATATAGACATAAAATGGTCTGTCATATTACAGGAAGCTGGGCAACACAACCTCTGTGCCAGGGCTCAGCTAGGGAACTCTGTGTGGGCTGTAGGGAAGGTGAGCATGGGGCTGTCAGCCCTCTGAGGGATGGGTGCTGCTGACATTCTCCCAGGGCTAGAATAGCTGGCCAGAGCCTGCTAGATTGCTGCTTTCTCCCTGTTTTGGGCAGGGGTGTTGGACTACGTGATCTGCAGAGGTCTCTCTAGGCTCTCTGACTCCAGTTCTGTGAAATTATCAAGTGAGACGTTGTGTTTCTGTGTTTCATGAAGATGTGACATAGGCTGAGTAAATGGCAAGGCTCAGCCACCAGCTCCTGTCACATCACTAAATAACTTCTTGGTCTAGCTTGCACACTTTATCCTCCTGCATTTCTAAAATTGAGAAAGAATATATCAGCCTTTAATGTTTATTTCAGCATTATGAGGTATAATATTCTAGGGGAAATACATTTAAAGAGTATCAATCAAAATTAAAGAAACTACATGGGAAAAATGCAAGTTATTCTTTTTCTTTTCATTTGTAATTTCCATTGCATAGGCAACCTGACAAAACATGTTGCACATAATAATAATGTCAGTTTTTACTAAGAAAGTAATCAATGTGATCAAACAAATTTTAATCTAGGTATCTGAAACAAAGTATTTATTATTATATAGATTCTTACCTAATGCATTACAATGGTATGTTAACAAGCTGGTATGAAGTGTAAATCTTTAAGGTGAAAAAGCATGATTGTTAAATGATCATGAGTCCTGCCTCATCCAATGCATGACTGGCAGTAGCACAGAGAGAAGGGTTTGCATGTGAAGCAGTACTACTGATCTTGCTCCTGAGGAATAATGCAATAAAGTACTGGCACAGCTGTGTTTTTTAATGATTTCATGAATGGTCAAGCAAATAAGGCATGATACTTTATATTACCTCATGGTGAAATAAGACACAAAGCTGGAATCAACAAGAGGCTCCTTTTTGCCTTGCCAGAAAGACGCTCAAAAAGCTGACAGACACTCAAAAGCCAGTGGAAAGAGAACAGGGTTTATGAATTCATGCTATATAGGAGTTAAAGTGTTGCAATTCCAGTTAGCTGACCTGACCTAAAACAGCTTCTCTCCACCTAGCATTAGACATATATGTGGCAAGAATTTAGGGATTACAGTCACCACTGAATCCCTTTATAATAAGTAAAGAGAATAAACATTTTTAGGGAGAGATTCTTTTGATTGGTTTCAGTTGTTTTCTGTAGGACAATATGATTTGTGAGTTGATAGTTGTTAATCTCATCAATGACTATAAGGTTCATCCTGTCTACACTTATGCTGATGTCAGGCATCAGGCATGTTAGGCATCAGAAGAGGTTTTCTGAGAAGGTACTCAAACTTTTGAAAAAAACTTACAGAAGTGCTTATTTCTCTGTGCTCAATGAGAAGCGTGGCCAACTATTCAACATCTTCCCCAGGAAAAATGGGTCAATTTTTGATCAGCTCTGCCAAGCTGGGCTGACTGGAAGAAACTGTGGATGTCACCCTGACTTCTTCAACACAGCATTTACAGCTCTGTTTGAGAGGAATGTGAGTGAAATGCTCCTCTGTGTTATTCTCTTCCCACATCTTTGGTACCATAAAAAAATTTGTTCCTCGGTAGCACACCATTACTTATGCATTTCGAAAATCCACCAGAAAGACTTGAGGTGAAACGTGGAAGATCCTTGTCACAGTGTCTCTCCAGTGAATCCCTGTGTGAGACGAGGCACTGATGCATGCAAAAGAGCTGTTGGTGGAGTTGGTAGTGCCACTCCAGAATGGCTTCCCTACCTCTGCCACAGTCATAGTCCTTTCAGAAAGGATTTCAGCACAGACTATCTACCGAAGTAGATATCCAGAGTTGCTGAAAGTCCTGAACCCTGTATATCTTCAGTAATAACTTGGCTATTTATCTGGAGCTCTCTGGTTTCTCGGTGTCTTCTGCAGCTGCTGCTTCTGAGCATAACCTGTAACAGTGAAGCTGAGCTAAAGAGCTCATGCCATGCTCTTGAATAGGTGGGTGGGGAGGTGTTGAAGTAGTAATGTTTGTCCTAGGGATGTGTTGTTGATTTCAAGAAAGTTGTGTCTCAGGAATCACAAGCCCACAGGAAATAACAAAGGGTCCACAGGGTCACTGAACATGGGCCTCTGAAATATCAGAAAAACCTATCTTATAATTCTTCTGTTAGAAGAATCAGCTCCATCTTAAGCGGGAGTGTTCTTCCACTCCTTTCTGCCCCTTTTGTGCAGAAAAAAGGTACAGGTGCCTCTAAAGGGTTGTCATAAAGTGCAGGTGCAGACGCTCAGCAGATTTCCCATTTCCAGCTTGTGATCCATGAATCTCACCACTGTTGAGTACCTAGAGGAGCATTTCAGGACTGGGTTCACTCTAGGTGGAAGCACATAATTGAAACTGCCTTGAATCTAACACTGAAAGTCCTCAGATGAAGAGCAGGTCAGATACCCCCCCCACTTACTATTTCTTACTGTCCATTTTAAGCAGCTTCTCACTCAGCAGTAGGTTTTTGAGTCTCTTTGGGGATGGCAAAGTCTCTTTGCTGACTGTATAAGGATGCTAATTTGGGGTCATCATTCTGGGGCTAAGTATCTGTAGGTGCTGTAAAGTTTAACACACATGCCTAGTGCAGGTACTCTGCTTCCTGCTATTCTGTGTTCAAATGTTCTTCCTAAATGTTATGGAAACCAAGGATGGAGTCTATATTTTTCTGTCTTCATTGTAAAGATTAATGTCTCAGCCAAACAAGAATTTGTGCACAGCAATAAGCTGCTACTTAATGCTTTTCTCCTATTGCAAAATATGTCTGACAACTGAGAAGAACTTGCTGGGAATTTTCCAACATGATGTTTATCTGTATGAAACATGCTCCTTAGAAGTGAAAACTAATAAATATAGTTTACTGACAAATATATTTTTTTTCTTCCAAGAAGAAAGTTTTTAGATCAATTCAGCTAAAACTGAAACATTTGCTGAAGGAGCCAGCAATATTTATTCTGAGTCACTACAACATCCCTTCTCTCATGGGAAGGATTCAGGGCCAAATGTCATGTCCATGAAACAACACTGAGCAGGAATTACAGGGCTTTGGTTCACATAACATATCCTTTCCACCAAGCAAAATGGAACATGTCAGTGTGGGAAGGATAAATGGCAATCTTGGGCTGTCATGCAGTAGGATCTTATTATAGATACAGAGATAATGAAACTAATGTATCCTGAGGCAGTGTTACTTAAAAGAATATCAGAACAGGAGAATGTGAACTGAATTTCATTTACTGAGACTTTTTCTGGTATATTTGGGGCTAAGTTTCTGCAAACCATACAGAGTCTTGGTCCTTCAGAGCTGAAATTATATTTGGACAGCTGGCAACAGGATAAGGCTACACAAGGCTTCCCCACCTTTTGAAGGCTTTTTGTCAGGCAAAGTATGTTTGTCTATGTGACCCATTTTATCACTCAATCGGTCCTTCACTGAGATACGCAAAGTAGAAGGTAGGCTGGAGGAACTGAACCCCATATAAATTTTCCACAAAGCTCGTATGTCTGTTAAACAAATGGTAGAGAGGGTGGGAAGAGCTGATCTGGAAACTAATAAGGTCAACAGATGCACTTTTTGAAGATGATTAGATATGACAGAAATAAAGTTGCTCTTATAACTTATTGAGAGCGGATATGTTTGGTTTTGGGTACATTCTGAGATATGAGATAATGCTATCTTTCCTGTTCCCTTCTGATAGACCCATATTTTCACAGTGCAGGTTAGGATACCAGCATTTATTTCATGGCTATATGTATAAGCAATCTGTAGGCTTTATTTTAAAGTCTGTCTGGGTACACCAGACCACCTCCCTCCAGCAGCTGACATAACCTATCGTTATGTGCAAGAAACATGTTAATTCTCATAATTAACACCATTTTGGGGTCAATGCAGGTGAAGAGATTTAATACACCTTTTAAGATTACTCACAATATTTTCTTCATCTTCTGCCCACCCTTATTTTATTCACTCTCACAATAGCTAGTCGGCATAACTTCCTCCTTATGCCTCAAATGCTATGCTGTCACCAGCAGTTATAAAGGGAACAAAACAACCTGAAAGGAAAATTTCCATATGGGAAATTTTTCTTAGCGGGGTATGTTTTATTTTATGGAATCTAGGAAAGTAGCTTGAGACATTTAGAGGTAGACCCAAAATGTTCTGCTGAAGGTTTGAAGTTTTTATGATCCCAAGGGTAAAAAAAATGTGTAAAGCCCCATGAACATTAGTCTACATGATATCTACTATCTGTATTAAACAAGTACTCACAAACCTCAGAAAGGATTGAATTCTGTTATGCTGGGCACACTTCAAACATATGATAAAAGGTGACTTCTGTCTCCTGAGTTTAAGCTTAAAATCTGACAGGATTACTAGAACATTACAATAGTCCTGTCTCTGGAATGCTGATTTGTGGCCTTGATCAAACCACTTAGCCTTTTAGTTGCTTGAAAAAAAATTACTTCTGCACTTAAAAGTAGGAAAAGTCAATAGAGCCACTCACACATGCAGAGGAATTTTGTAGCTCTGAAACCTTAGTAGTGAATGTAACATCCTCTTCTTGAGGAGCCTTGTTCTCCCTCATGCTCTGTTGTATCTTCTGGCTGAGCTCCTTGCATAAGATTTTTTTAGCCCATTTAAATCAAAATGAGACATGTTAAAAATACCCCCAACCCTAATATTTACGCTACCTAGCTTCTGTGGACTGATTCAGATTTGGGAGGAAGCACAAGGTGATTTCAGTTAGCAGATCTGACTGGACAGGAAACTTGATCAGATGGTACAGATGACAGCCAGAGTATAGCAGAGTAAGATGCAAACCATTCGAGTTAGTCTATCTGTAGCTCAAGAGACCATGAATAACCATATATTTCTAGATTTTGAGCTACATGCTTGGATCTAAAAATTAACGGATTCTGGTTCTTGTCTTTAGACTGATACCCTTAAAAATTTACAGATGTATAATGTCAACACTTTGAGCCTGCTGGAAGAAAAGTACAAAATGTCCTACTGCTTTTATTAAAGCCAGTCTTTATTAAAAAAAATCTCAAGAAGGGACGATATTTGGATAGAGGTAAGGAGAAGAGTAGTGGGTGTAGAAGGAAGAACTGGAAACTTACGGAGTGATTTGGTTTGAGAAGCAGATGCTCACCTAGAATAACCAGCCATGGAAATGACAACTGTGAAAGAAAGGCTTAAATCTGATGAGAAAGGAAAGAATGTGATGTGGAGATGTAGACCATGGATCAAGACAAATGACTGCAGCAGCCGGGCTGTGAATAGAAGAGGAGTACTTCCAGAGGTCCTTGGTGGAAGACAAACTTGCAGTGTCAGTGCTCTAGATAAGTCTCTGGGCATACATAAACATTTAGAATAGTAGAAGAAAAGATGGAGTCCTTTAGTATCTGGATGTTGAGGAAAGTAAGAACACAATCAAAAAATCTTGCTTTGTAAGAAAGGCTTCTCAAAAATATATCTTATCAGAGTTGTTAGCTACATATTCTTCACCTCCATGTTTTTCAGCGTCTGCCATATAACCCATTTTTCTTCCAGAGAAGACCTGACTTCTGCAGCAGTTCAACATGGTTTGGAAGAGCCCTCTGAGGACATAAACCAAAAGTGTCTCCTATAAATGTCAGCATAGTATATATCTGTAGGCACCTGTCATCCTTCACACACACAGCAGATGTTTATCTAATTCACCATATTTATTAATCTGAAGTGTACAGTGTCCAAGAAAACACTGGACATCCCCACTTTAATCTGATCTCTCAACTTTCCCTGAAAGTCCATCTAAAAGAGACCCTGAGTGTTTGTGATTTGTCAAGGATTCAATAATTGGCAGGAAAAAATAGCTTTGGGCACATGTCCCCTTCCTCCCTCTCTGTCTCAAACTTTGTGATCTCGTTTAGCTTTGTACTGTCATGTCAGCTTCTTCTGTACTCGCTAGGGTTCAACATGTATCTTGTGATGGCTCTGCAGAAAGTATTCTTGTAACCTTGAGCACTTTCCACTCTTTCCTCATGCTGATTGCTGTTTCCATGGAAGTCTGTGATGTGTTTTATTCAAAGTATAATTTGTAGTATGTTTGCTTAGAACAGAGGACAGGAAAAATAAATTCTTCAAGGCAGAGTTAAGGAAAATAAAATTAAAAATCAACAACTCCCCCTCTAAACTTTTATTCCCCCCTTCCCTACCAAATCCCCAATTAATACCAGTTCTGTTTAGGACAGAAGTGTTCAATGACAACACAAAGGAAGACATGTCAGGTCACAAACACAAAACATAAAATATCTCCACTCTTGTTAATTATGACCCAGTCTTACCGAAAAACAGATGGAACTGCTTTCAAAGCGCTGTGTGTGTGCTTATGTGTGTGTGCATATGTATGTCTGTCTTACGAATGGCTAATTCAAATCAAACTTGGGATTCTAGTCAAGACAACAGCTTCACTGCCTGAACCAGCTTGTTTCTGTACTCTTATCATTACCAAAAAGACAGAAGACTGCAATCAAGTTTCATTCAGCTCCAAAGAAAAAAGAATATATCCCACACTTTCCAGTAACAGCCTGCTATGCACTACTTGCCTATATGACAAACATATGGAGAGGCACATACTTTGGGCCTGGATCTCCTTGAAATTTCCCTGCTAACTATAGCATCTGCAGCTTGAGTAATGCAGCGAAAAAAAAAACACCAACAAATCAACCTCTCCCTTTTCCCCTTCTTCTTGTTACAGGACAATAGGGTAAGACTTTAGTTAATATGATATAACTTAACATAATAGGCAGAGAACCATCTGCTTGTACGAAGATGTACAATGCCAGCTGTGGGGGCTCAGGAGTGCCTCTGCACTTCACACTAGCTATAGTGGATTATCCAAAATGCAGTGGTGCCTTCGCCCATACCCTCATCTCAGCCATGACCCAGAGTGTTTTATGTATTTCAGGAGCGTATCTCTGGTCTTTCAGTGACTCTTTCACAAGGCCTTGTTGTATAGTTCATTACTATGAAGTGTCAGGAATTCAGAGAGAGGAACATGCGAGAACAGAAGTAGGTGCTTCCAGACTGTAACAGCAGTGCTGTTAATTGGGACACTTGCAAAATAGTGTCATATGTGTCATTGCTTCTGACTATACCCCAGAAACACCTCTAGAAAAATACAAAATGCTAACCTGATTTTCTTTTTCCTAGCTTACAGTTGTTTTACAGGAGGCTGCCTCTCTTGCCCTTCAGAATGGATATTGTTTGGAAGTATTTAGAGACAAATACTATTTTCCAGGACCACTGACACTGGGACACAGGCATCAAGGAAAAAATAAAACAAAGCAATCCCAGATGCAATGGAATGAACAGCTAAAAGGCAGGAAGGTAACATATTTGCTTTTGTGCCTTGCCCCAACCGGGTGGCATTCTAATAGGTTTCTTATTCTGCTTTCTTCTGCTAAGAGACTGGAAGACATATGTCACTTTTCCACCTTAACTGTGCATTTTCTAGTTTGTTTGGATTTATGTCATAACCTTAATGGGATTTAAATGGAATTTTTATATGTGAATAATACTCTGCATTAATGCAAGAACTTTAGGTTGCTGTGCTACCAGCCTGATTTGCATAAAGGTTTTTTAAATATGAAAGAAGAATAGCCAGGCTATTGTAGATGGCAAAGTGAAAAAAGACAGTAGCATAACAGTAAGAGGAAGAGACAACCCTTCCCCCTAAGTGTTGGCTTGCCAAAGGGTTAATTCTCTGATTCTTAAGTACAACTGGGTGTGAGAAGAAAACCTGGAGGTCATGCCAGTCATGAATATTTAGTTGCTGGAGGGTCAAGGCAGGATTAAATGGTGCAGCAGCCAGGTCAATGTCATGGGTTTATATTTTCTCATAAAACATTTTCTGTTCTGGTGTACTCTCTGTGATCTGTAAATGTGTAGCTCACATAGCATTTACACACACACATACACGCTGGTGTGGATAAATGTCTGTTTCCCGTAAGTATGTGTCATATCACAGATTTTTAGAAATTATCCACAAATAGTAATGCCAATAAGTAATGCCATTGTCTTACACTGAAAACTGTGCTATTATGCAATTACATATGATTTAAGTTTGGTATACATTGCATTGTTTGTTCAAGACACTGTCCAAGCCCTGGTTTACCCTAGAATATGACAAGTAGGAGCAGGAGGATATTTACCTATTTTCATTGTTATTATTTTCAGAAGGGAAAGGGGGACAGAGAGTTCTGAAGATTTGTCCTGACAATTTTTGTGGCAGATCTATGTATAGTACTGCAGCTCTTCTGGCTCTTGGTTCTTTGCCTTAAACAAAACATCATCCTTTTGGTTTTCGAGCCTGAATTGTGTGAGAGCAGCTCTGAGTTACTGATGGTAGTGCAGCCAGTGAACTTTCCTGCTGGCATGTTTTTCATTCTTAGTATACCATTATTATTTTAAAATGAATTATGTATATAACACATTTAGTGTACAGACTACTCTGCATGTGAATAATAAAGCACAGTCTCTGCTCTGAGGAGCTGACAGGCTAAGGGCTTGATCCAGTAAACACTTATTCCTGGGTGATTTGCTTAGCCTGCTATCATGAGTAATCTGTTGATCTGGCCCGAAACTAATTAGATAACTTGACAAATAAGAACAATAGGACATGCTGGGTAGTGAAGGAAGAAAAGGATGAGACACAACAGTACATAAAGATTTAGGAAGAAAGGATAAACACAAGCTGGTTTGGATTTGGTTCACTTTTTAGTGGCAGTCTCTGCATGGAAACGCAGGGAAGGTTGGAGCTCAGGCCCTAGAATCAAGTGTTTTGGTTGTCATCCAGGTCTTACATCTCACTGTGCATTCAGCAGGTCTGCATGGCAGGTAATGGCTTTGGGCTGACCTGACTTGTTTTCTGTCTCTGCAGTCAGTGCCTGAGGAGTCTTCTCAATCATCTTTTAAAAGTAGCTGAGATTGAATATACACACACAGCATTTTCAAACTGTCCTGTTTGCAAGCTATTAGTTGAATTTCCAGAATGGTCCTAAGCTCAAGGAGGAGGCTTACACTTGCAAATAAGTTATCTCCCTGCCCACGGGGAACAAAATTGAAACATCCAGATGCACATATGACCACCATGTGAAAAAAAAAAATATCAGGGAATGACACTACTTTTGGAGTTGAGTCCTGGCTCCTTTTATCTGCTACAGAAGCAGAAAGGAGAGTGCCAGGACACTGGCCTTGTTTTCTCACCCAGGATTCCTGCAGGACAAGGGCCCAAGCACTGATCTTGAACTCTGAGATTTCATGTGTAGGTACAACAGAGCTTACAGCACTTCATTGGGGTTGGGGGTTGGCTAAGCACTGCTTGAAGATGGTTAGTTTGTGTTGGACACTAACATTTTGTTTGTGCTTGAAGATCTTGTTTGTATTGCTGTAAGTGATGCTCATACTTGCAGAGGCCACTGCTGACCTTGTTTGCATGGGTTCTGCATTTGAAGGCAACAATAGGGTATGGAGAGGTGACCAAGAGCACATTATCATTGGAGATGAGGTGGAAGAATGGAGAGGCCTGTAACTGGCTTAGGAAGTCTTTGACTGATGGACTTTTTAAAATACTGCCTATTGGTACCCTTGAAGTGGTTTTCTGGTACGTGGCTCTGTTTGCATTTTTCACAAGTTCTGGTCTAAAGGGTCTTGAATAGAGAAGTCCAGTTAAAACCATGGACAAAATATATCCCTAAAACGATTATCCAAAGTGCTTATTTCACCAACTAGTCCTGTTTTCAGTGTGGGAAGGGTCACAGATGGGTCAGGAATAGTAAAATGGTGTTTATTCAACTGACCACTGTGCTGGAGAAAGGGTGAATCTATTTCACTGACTTGGTCCCAGGAGGAAAACTCTTCTTGAATGCAGACACGTCAAGTCTATTCTTACTCTAATGGAGAAAAAGTGGGAAAACAAAACAAAGTGTGGAAAAATATCAGTGTTAAACAAAATAAATTCTTGATCATAAAAATCTCAACAGAATGTTTGTTTGCTATCTTAATTTTTGTTCTGTCTAATGTCTAGTACCTGTAAGAAAGAATTTCTTCATGCTCTCACATAAAATGAAGCAAAAGCAACCTACTGCAACTGTCCATTTTCTTTCATTTTTAGAAAGGGAAATATATATGTATATCTCTCAAAATCTGTAGGGATAAAAATTTTAATTATGTCTTAGTTGCTTGCTGTGATTTTGAAATCAGTGCTTTAGTCTGAATAAGCACTTGGTAGTTTATAAAGTGACATGAAGAATATTTCTATTTCACATGTTAAAATCTCATTTTTATAAATGGCAATAACAGAGTTGGCATTGGATTAACAGAGGTGACCTGAAATTGGTATCAAGAAAGTGATTTTTTAAAAAGAACTGAATTAATGAAATGAAGAAAAAAAAAAAAAGGATAAAGATATGTGAATAAGCTAAAACCCATTTAAGCAGTAGAATTTTGTGAATGCTAAGATGTTGGACTCTGTAAAAATATTGGTTTCCATCAAAATAGACTAATACAGAAATAGTAGTTTAGAAACATTCATATGAATAGAACAGTCCTAAGAACAACAGTCTTCACTCTGTGATGAAAATGACAGGTGAAAGTGGAGGTCAACACAAAAGTGCCAGGGAGTTTTTGGGCCACAGCAGAGAGATAGAAAGCAGGGACAACACTGAGGAGAGACAACAATATTGCTAATGAGTGTCAGTTAGATGCATAAAATGGGGCCCAACACAAGCTTTTGTGTAGGAAATTGGTTCAGAGAACCTCAGAGGAACTTTGTGGTAGGCAACTTTTTGATGGCAGAGTCTGCCTTTAAGAATGTTCTTGCTTTGCGACATCCCTACTGGGGCTGACATGGTCTGTTGTTTAGACTGTTAGTCTTTGTGTTTCTGTCATATCATGTGTTTGCCTGGTTCCACAGTGAATCCAAATGCTGCTGAATACCTCCACTTCCACTGTTGAATCTTCAATTAATTAGCAGATTTTCTTTGAATGAGAATTTTCACAGGTAATTTTTTAAAGGATCCTTCTGGGTGTGTGAACAGGCCACTTACATTGCCTGCCTTGCAGATACCCTCCTCAGAGAGACAAAGAAAGGAATAACTGTGTTCTGAAAGATTTCTTTACCCTGAGAGATGGTACTTCCATGTCAAGAATCAGGGATTTTTTAATATTTTTTTTTCTGTGAGTTCCCAGCCCCCTTCCAGTCCTTGACATAACTAGGAATGTACTTTAAAGACAGAAATAATCTCTGTGACTGTAGAGCCTGAAAACCAGAGTCTCTAACTATATGAAGAACCGCTGCCCAGAAAGGACGGGCTGTACCATGCACTTCAAGTCCTGTTCCAGCTCCCAATAACAGCTGGAGAAGTGCAGAGGCTTCATGTACATTTACGTAGACGTTTGCTTTGCCTGTGATTCTTGATCTGACTAACTGGCATTTGGCACATCTCTGTTAGTTTTCATATTATACAAGTTGACTCAGACAGACTGGGAAATGCCAAAGATCAAAGGCTATGAGGCTTGTTTTTGACCAGAAAGCTTTTAGAATTTAGCTTCCTGATGAGTAATACTGATCTGAAGAATCAATTGTACTGATCACTTTAGGGGAAAATATCTAATTGCTGCCACATAACTTCTCCCTCTTGGCTGGGATGGAGTCTTTCTTGACAAAGCTGAGGGAGAACACAGGAGGGGGAGCAAGATATTAACAATATAAAAACATTTTGAAGATAATTTTTTGCTAGTCATGGTAGGTACTGTAATACTTTTCTCAGATCTCTGTAACTCTTTAGTAACACAAATAAATTCAGTTTCAAATCAGTCTCTACTAGGTGGAAAACAGTTTTCTTGTAATGTCCTTTCTGACCTCCAGTTTATTTACATAAACAGATTTTTATTTTGCATCTGCTGTTTTGAGCTTTAGGTTTCAGTCAGCCATTTACCTAATGAGTGCATATGAGCAATGTAGCACAACATTCATGGTGGTCTGATAAGGGTGACAGAATGGCACATGCATATCCATCCGACCACCTTATACCATGGAATTGGTGACAATGTGAATATCCAAGGTGTTCTTTTATTAAGATACTTTTGTTAATCTATCTTTATTGAGTTGTGTATTGCAATAACAATAACAGCTTTTTTATGAACAGGTTTGGAGAAGATATGATAGTAAAAACCAGCAAACAAAACAAACAAAAAAACAAACAGTAGAAATAGAAAAGAGAGCTGTGGGATTCCAAAATCACTTGACTGCTGGAGTAGAAATATAGAGTTGTCTCATCCACTAGTGCAGAGTGACTTTAGTCAAGCAATGATAATTTGTGCCAGCTGAGGATTTCTTAATTCCTGGTAGCCCTTAATTTTGGTATTGTACATTTACATATTTGGCTTTTGTGTATTTACTGAAACATATGTATGGGAGGCAAAGAAGAACAAAAATCACTTGATAACAGCCATGGGAAGGTGCATCACAGAGAGTCACAGTTTACTGCTCTGCTTGCTTTTTCTCACAGCATCCTTTTGCAAGGATGCTTTGCCTCCTTGCTGATTTCTCTGGTTGAACTGTAGGTTTATAATGTCTATTTTATGGCTGATTAAGAGCTGGCAACAGGAAGTTTTGTGTGCTTGTGAAGTCTGAATGATTCTTGAGGCTTGGTGCAAAATTATAACAACCATTAAGAAGAAGAATCATAATATATGACCTAGTTCATAGGTCAACCAAAAAATATGATTTACTTTTTCATCACTCACTCTAGCTGCTGTTAGAAATGTCTTGTGGTGGGAAAAAAAACACCTTACTGTTTACCAGTGGGTTATGGCCAGATTTCTTTCCCATTTGGTATTTCACTGCTGTACAAACTGTCAGAGTCATTGTCTACTAGTGTACATTGACTTCTGCTTCATCTCCTCTTTGTGTTTCTGACATTAAATGTTCCCTCATTTAATACATTGGTCAAACTGTGAACATGTAATGGATTTTTGGATAATTTTACATTATGATCTTAGAAATGCATATATCATATATTGAGAATATAAAGGCAAACATAAAAGGAAGAGTATTTTGACACTGAAAAATGGAGAAAAAGTGCTTCTGGGGTATATTTAATAGATTGATTTGAGAATAGTTTGCTTCAGCATAGGATTTCCTACCTAATGACTCTGAATTTGTACTGAAACAAATGGGGAAACTTCTTTCCTTGGGATAGGAAATATAGTGGCGTTTAAAGAAGAACTTTAAATACGGATACATTTCAGGCCTCAGTAGATGCATATATAGGAAATGAAATATGCTGAAGGTTAGTCTGTTCAGCCCTTCAGACCACGTCAGGTTCACTCAAGTTCCTTTGCCTCTCAAGGAAACTTTGAGCCAAACAATATACACTGACATATATCATTATGGTAATGGCTTTGATTCAAAATCAAATGATTTCAGTGGTTTACAAACAATTTAAATTCTGATATTTTGCTTATCTGACAAAAAGTAAAGAAAAAAAAAAAAAGCAATTCTTGCCTTTGTGGTTTTGTGAAGCTCAAAATGAGAAAAAAAAAATCCTTAAAACTTCTCTGAGTTTGCAGAAAGTTTTGTGCAGCTTTGGCTAAAACCTCACAGTTCATAGAAAGATAAAGTTAAATCATGAATGCTCTGGTCAGGGCATTTTTGTGAACCTGACCAGTAAGAATTATTTTCTCTTTCATCACTGAAATAACAACTAGATAGATAGTGAAAGTAGTTGATTTTATGCTTGAATTCTTGTAGTACAGTATCAAAAAGTTCTTATATGGCTGACCAAAATTAAGCAAGGAATATATCATTTTTTCAACTTCCTAGAAGTCAGATATGCGATTTCTTACAATCATGTCAGGTAATGTTACAGAAAGCTGAGCTTTTGTGACTGTTCCAGACCTGTTTGATGTTACTGGGCAACCTGCCAAAGTCTCTTTTCTGTGTGCCAGGATGGTAATTATTGACACTTCTTAGGGAAAGGATTTCAAGGAACTCACATCGATATTTTCTCCACAGTCAAAAACTGGAAATGCCACTAGAGCAAAGGGATCCTGAAATCCCTGTGGATTATATTCCTGGACCAAGGAAGGCAACAGGACACTAAGAAAGTTAACCTCAGGCAGACAAAATGACAGCAGCATGCAGATGCCTGGAGTGGAATTCAGAGAGAACTACTTGACAAAAATACATCTGGTGAGGAGGAGTGGTAGTGGGTGTGAAAACTTTGAGTGTGTAATGTGTTGTCTTTTAGGATGGAAGGTGTACTACTGATCAAAATGAATGCTCATGAAGGAGCTGAGGGGTGTGGGTCTGCATCTCAGGAATCAGTCACAGCTGGGGGGATGTAGCACCATGCAACGTGAAGCTGTAGTCATCACTGCGGTGTCCAAGTTTTGTACCACATCTGTCTATTTGTGGCATTTGACTACTTATCTTGGATTTTCCTCACTGTCTCAGGAGCCAAATTAGCTTGGTTTTAGGATGAGATTTTTAGTGTGAAGGAGGGATGTCTCATGGAGTGAGCAGATTTTAGACCTGGCTGTGAAATTTCAGATCATTATGATCCCTTTCAAATGTGAATTTTAGAACTGGCACCAGCTGTTATGGTGGGCTCCTCTCCTGCATACATGTATGTTTCACTACTGAGACAGGGGAGTGTGAAGTTTATGTTGATTGCTGTTACGAGCTCATACTTGGCCTGCCATGAGTTGCAGTGATCATGACTTCTTTCCTGCACTGTTATTTGAATGCTTTAGATACTTTCATGTGGTTATCACATCCTGTCCCTTGCTCACTGCTTTGCCAAGCTCCATGTGCTTAACAAGATGCTTAACTATTGTTAATCTTTCCTCACGTATTCCAAAGTGTGTCACTTGCATGTCTAGCAAATAATTCCTTAAAAAGTAGAAGTTACAAAATTGAGATTCCTACTGATTTTTGTTTTGCATTTGGATTGGCTGGTTTCTATTAAAAATTGAACTCCTATTCAAGCCTCTTTCTTGGTTAGGACTTCAAGATCTCTCTCAACTTGCCTGCCAAGTTCCTAAGACATTTATGCAATTTTCAGATTTTTTCGGAGTTACTCAGTATGTTTAAAAGTTACTGGTGTAGGGAAACAGACTGACAGACAGACAGGCAGGAGGCTGAAGACAGTGAGCTGTGTAAGTCTCATTTCTTTAAGAAACCCATAAAAAGTTACAATGAAAAATGTATATAGTAAGTGTTAAGTAGTTAGATTTATAGGAGAGCTGTTACATTCTCTGTCCTCATGCAAAACATTGTAAGTTTTGCCATAGGTTCAACTTTGCAGTGCCAACCTGAGTAGCCCCACAGAATTTCTACCATTTCAAGACAGTTTTGCTCAAAACTCAGACCAGCGAATGAGAAAAACTTGATTTAAATAATTTATGACTCCAAGTTTTAAGACAAGCTGAAGCCCAGAAAGTGCACCTTAACCTGTGTCAGCTTGGGAGCAAGCTCCCATGCAGCTCAGCTACCTGTGCAGCATGGCAAGGAAGGTGAGCCAGGGGCGAGGACCCTGCCAGAACCCCAAGCCAAGCTATCCCTGTGCCTCAGCCCGTGTCTGCTTCTTCTTCCTGTGTCAGCTGCTCCGGTTGTGTGCTTTCGGCAGGGGTGTTTGTATTAGCAGCATGGGATACTTGAGTCTTTACTGCTTTATGAGCTAGAAGGTCAGCTACACTTGAGCTTCAATCTACCATCCCCTGCCCTCCATTAAGTTAGCTGCCTGGAGCTTAAAGCACAGTTTAATCTCTGATAGAAACTTATGGGAGTCTGCTCAGGGGCAACACTCAAGCTATACCTCAAACTAATTCAACAATCCCCACGAGACAGCGGGGGTTTCTTAAGGAAGAGACCAGATGCCAAGAATGTGTCTATGCAGCCCAGAATAGCACTTCATAGTACCATAGTAGGAGGCTGGAAAATTCATAGGACCAGCCAAGGGATGTCTGTGATGGGAGGAAACTGGAATACTGAAAGGGACCATATTTGAATGTAATGAATGAGCGTGTAGTAATCATACTCATTGCTATTAATTGAAATATATCACTGTAGTTCAAAAGCTTCTCTTACCAGATCCATGGAAGCCTTACAAAAGTAGACAAGAGGGAGAGAAAGGTGGTGATGCTGTCACTCCAAAGATGATGCCCAAGGGCAGAAAACCCTTTGATGGCTGTAATGTACATCTAGATTGGGACTGAGCCCGGAGATCAGATTGACTGGCTGCTTGGCTTGCTTCTGGTCCAGGCTGAAGAGGAGGCAATAACATACTCAGTGAGGAGGCAGCATGGAAGGGCTCCTTCAACCACCCCTTATCTGTTAGTTGCCACCCCCCACTCCCTTTTGTTCAGTTTGACATCTAAGGGGGCTGGCTTAGGTCCCTGGTGATGGTCTAACCAACCTGTTTGACTTTGCACTTGAAGGAAGGGTTAACATCAAGTCTGTTAAAACAGAGAAATTATTTCAGAAGTTTTCTGAACTATTTCTGCTTTCTGCTCAGCTCTTCACTTTTATTGGGCCACTTGCTTTTGCTGTGGTGGGGCCTCAGCGTCTTGCTGCTCTCCTGGGAGCTCCTAGGGTTTCAGCCTTGGAGACAAGGTGCTGACTCCCAGCAGGTGGAGTTTTGTTGTGGTGTGCAGGGAGTTACTGTGCAAGCTCAGACCACGTTCCTGGCCAAGGTGGCACAGGTCAGGTCTCGCTCTATCTGATGCTCCCCGCTCATCCTTCCTTCTGGTGTTTCCTTTCTCTTTTAAAATGCACAGTCTGGTTTTCCAAACACAGAGTAGCAAAATATTTCTGCTCTTAACCCCTTTTTGGACTCATGATTTTGCACTGAGTTTAGTGGCTGCATGAACAGAGGCCTCAATATTTCATTTGTTTTGAAACTTTATGTTTGTATACTATCACCAACCACAGTAAAATCTGCAGTGTGGTTACATGTTGTGCTTTACATTGCCATGCTCTTCTCATTAAAGTAATTAAAATTGCTTGTGCATTAAACAAACAAACAAATAAAAGGTGCTAATCAGCTATATTTCAAAAAAGTTGAAAGAAAAATGATGCTGTCTAAATGGTTTGGAATAGTCAGACCTATTCTATTATATGTCTGTAACAGCAGGATATAACAAAGGTAAAGATTTAAGGCAATTTTGACACCTTAAAGTAGAACTGTTAGCACTGCATAGACTTTCAAATCCAAAGAGGATTCAGCCTGCTCACTTACTGCTTTCCACATCTTCAAAGGACCGTGGCTCTTTTTTAATCTTTCCTTTTTGCTGTGAAGCCATGGGAAGTTATTGACTTTACAGGCAGTTTTAGTACACAATCAAGCAAGAAAAAAATGCTGGTGTACTCTGAGGCTCCGAGTTCAAGTTCTCCTCTCTTTGTGTCACTCCCCTCTCTGTGCTGAGGCAGAATTTTAAAGTGAAGAACAAATGGTGAGCTGTTATACAAGGTTTTGTTTTTTGACCCCCTGGCTGAGCCAAAATTCTGTGAAGATTTTCTGGGAGGTTTTTGCTACCCAGCAGTTCTTCCAAATGTAATTGGAATATGCTTTCCACAATGATATTGCTTAATTATAATTAGATATAGTTTGGACTCTGGGTCTGAGCGGAACAGTTCCAACATAGCTCTTCTTGGAAGAGCTCTGCAGAAAGCAGTGGCTGGAGGGCTTCCAGGGAGTGCGAGTTTGCTCACTGGTCAGTGTTTGGACAGAGTGCTGCCTGCTTTGCTTTCTCATTAAGTGTAAGAGCTTAAATCTCCCTTTGCTTAATGGCAGACGGTGCTGTGAGAACTGATGCTTGAGTCACCAACCAGCTTGGCAAAGCTGGAAGATGAGCTGAGGCCATGTGTTTGCACAGGTTTTCACCGAGCTGTGGACATGCATACTTCACTGTAGTTTCTTTGGTGTGAAGAGCTGACCATCATAAAGAGACAGAAGATAAATAGGAACAGAAAGCTGAGAAGCCAGGAAGGGAACTGTAGGGGCAGAAGTCCCAAGAGAATGCTCCTAGAAGCCCTTCTGCCCATTGCAGGCCTTGGGCTGAGGCTGGAGAAGTTGACTTCCACCAAGTGATCTCCAGTATGTAGAGGGAAGGAGGATTTTTTGTCCATCCCTCACGATTCCCTGTGTGAAACAAGCTGTCACTGATGTATTTTCCTCAGAAATCCTGAGCAAACAATTTGGAATAATGTCCAAAGAATGCTTTACATTACAAAATAATGTAAAATAAGTGTGATGAGGAGGCTGGAAACCAAGCTACATAAAGATCAGAAATTCATTTTTGCATCCTGATCCTGACTGTGTTTCTGCAATATATCAGATCATCTTGCTGGTGTCCTGCAGATCCTAGTGTGCATTGAACTAACTTTCCTCTCAAGACATAGTCTTATTTTCTTCAACTCTGTGAGATGTGACAAGATACCCAGGAGGAGGAGTTCAGCTGAACATTTTGTTTTCCTACTCTTGTATTTGTTTGCATTTGTTCTTAGCTCCTGAACAGTTCCTCCTGGAAAGACTTACAAGTATTGGAACAAAATTCCTAAATGAATGGAACTGTTGCCTTGTAAGAGAAGCTTTTGGTCAAGTCTAAATAACAAGACATAAAGATATATTAACTTAATTTAAAGCCATAACAAGGTCCTAAAATATAGCAATGGTAACAGTTTTGTTCCATTTTGGGACTTCTAACCTGAAACCTTTGGAAGAAACTTGATGGGCTAGGATCTCTTATAAAATGTATGTAGTGAGAAGCTTAAGAATGAAAATGTTTTAAAGCCTCTCATTATTTAGAAAGGCTTGAACTATAGCTTTAAATTATTCATGAACTATGTGCTGGATAACTGAGAAGTAAAGGTATTACCTTATCTATGTCTTATTCAACATTTGTCTTCTCTGTTTAGAGGTAAGGACAAACAACACTAATTACATTTCCAAATGGTTCTAAATTTGGAAAACTTTATGTGTATGCCAGCTTAATATGAATGAAGGACTGAAAGCCTGTCTAAACATGTTCAGGGGATAAAAGTGTTAGTATATACCTGAGAAAATGCATTAGTAAATGTAGGAGAAAAATCATGATGAAATCAAATAATTTCTTTTCTCCCAGTGGAAGGCACTTGGAAAACAAATTACTTGTAGAGTTTGCTGCAGTAGCTCAACTTCTATGGTCTCT